ATAAAACGTATCTCACGGTGAGTCGAGACTTTTACTGGCCCCGCCAGTATCAGTTTGTGCGAAAGTATGTTCGCGCATGCGAAGTCTGTCAACGAGTGAAGTCAAGTCCTTCACTGCGTGCACCTTTACAGCCTCTACCGGTTCCAGCTGAGTGCTGGGAATCCATCTCAATGGATTTCGTCTTCGGGTTACCCAAAGACGCACGCGGGAATACGGGTATTCTCGTAGTTGTTGACAGATTCAGCAAAATGGTACACCTTGTGGCTGTACCAGAGACAATCACGGCAAGTGGCTGTGCTTGTGTCTTTATTGACACCATCTTCCGACCTCATGGGTTGCCCCGTGAACTCGTATCAGACATAGATCCACGCTTCACTGCTGATTTCTGGCGTTCCGTGTTCAAATCACTCGGAACGCGCTTGAAGATGTCTACATCTGATCATCCAGAGTCAGATGGTCAGACGGAACGAGCCAATCGTGTCCTCGAAGAGATACTTCGAGGATACGTACACTACTTTAAGAGTTGGAGTGAGTTCTTGCCAATGGCAGAGTTTTCCATTAGCAACTCGGTGCATGCGTCCACGACACATACATCGTTTTACGTAAATGGCTTGCTCCATCCGCGTGTACCCACCTTACAAGAGTGCAACTCTGGTTTAAGGGGGGAGGGACTCGCGCGAGCAAAAACCGATTTGGTTCACGCTCATCACGCTCTGACGAAGAGGTCATTGCGTTTGATGCCGATATCGATAACATCGATATCGAAGAAGATGGTGCCAGTGAGAGTGCGGAAGCCCTCACTGAAGAAAAGGTTGATGTTGCTGCAGTGCACTCACATCGTACTGAAGCTAACAAGTTATCAGATAAATTCATACTGGCTCGTGAAACGGTAGTCCGTTTTGTGCAAGACTCCATCGCCGAAGCGGTGGATAAGCAAAAGCAAAACGTTGACAAGAATGGAAGGGCAAACACTCTTTTATTTAATAAAGGTGACTTAGTCCTACTGTCTACGGTTAATCTACCAAAGCATGTAGTGACTAACGTGGGTAGTAGTAAGCTTCTACCCAAGTACATCGGCCCATTTCGTGTATTGCATCGCCTAGGCAACACATACACGATCGAGTTGCCACATAAGATGCGAACGCATCTCACGTTTTACGTTGGTCGGCTTAAGCCGTACCATCAGTACGCTGTTTCTTCCGATAAAGAACGCCCTTGCGTTCAAGCATCTCACAGAGGGCCTTGTGCTCCCGATGGTGGGCATCGACAAGGGTCTGAAGAGCAGTTATCTCAGCCCGAGACCGCTCAACATCCCCACGAGCTACCCTTAGCTCGTGGGAGACGTCAGAGCTCTCTCGTTCTCAAGCTGAGCAAAGGCAAACTCAGCTCGATGCTTCGAGACAGTGTCCGCCAGTTGGAGACGCCTGTCCCGCTCATGTTCGAGATCGCCGCGTAACCCTTGCGTTACGCAATCAAAGAAGCTCTCGGGAACACACGCTTCCCCACGATTGTGTGGAGAGCGTCTTCCCTCCTCCTCCACCTCCATTAGACGACTCTCGCGGTGTCCAGCGCTATCTGGTTGAGCAGCTGTTGAACCAACGCGACGTGAACGGACGTCGAACAAGTTATCTCGTCCGATGGCGCGGCTTTCCCCCGTCCTGGGATACTTGGGAGCCCCGCTCCCAACTGATGGTTGACGTACTGGGTCTGTTTGAGCAGTACGACGCGGCACATCCTGTGCCGCAGAAGGACCGCCGGAGAAAGTCTTCCTGGCACGGTCGTAAAGGGATTTCAGGTTCTCAATGCCTTCGTACATCTCACTAGAGATACGTACGCGCAACCACGGGCTATTACGGAGGTAAGCCTCCTTAGGTGCTCGTGCAGAGTTGTTCACACAACACGGGCACGGGTCTCCCCAAGAGAGGCAGGGTAACCATTTCTCCCTTGACAGACGATGCAGCTTGTAGCGTGCACCTGTCGGGGTTCGCTTTTCAAACTTATCACGAGCTTTGATAAGTTTGTCGTTCCAAACGTCACGACCTACATCCTCAAGGTTATGGATGTAGGCGTTCCACGCTTGAAGTAGTGAGGGACCATCACGCTTGTGATTCCCACTGTACCATCGATGTTTAAAGAAAGCATCGATGAAGAAATCATTCTCAGCGCGATAGTTTTTCGCACTGGGGTCAAGGTGATGGATCCTTGACGAATCGAACAATCGTGTTCGATAACGATCACTCGTCGTCGCCGAAAAGTGATCCATGACGGATTTAGGAGGCATCCATGCCTTCTTCTCGGGAGCGAGACGCAAGACATTGCGGTCCCGCTCTTCCTGCGATGTGCCGACAGAAGGACTGGCACCTCGTTGCGAAGTGGTGTCCATAGGAGAACCGACACCACTATTAGCGCCCGAGTCTCGCGACCTCGAGCGCCTTCGCTTCGGCGATGGTTCATCTGATTCATCAGATGAACCAAAGATGCTGCGGCGCATAGCATCATCCATGCCACGGTTGGCAGGCGGCTTGCTTTCACTCGCCGTCGATACGGATCCGTCTTCCGTATCAGGAGAGTATGAGACACCGAGCTCATACTCTGTGAAGACATGAGTGTCTTCATGACCAGCGCCTGCATCACCAAGTGACACAGGCAGAGTCGCTTCCGCAACCGATGAGGCATCGGTTGCTGTGGTTTCTGCTTCGGCGTCCGAACAGAGACGTGCGGACGCGCTCTCGGCGGCCTTGCTCGCGCATCGCATGGGCTTGTTAACCATGCCATGAAATGTTGGAAAGTGACTCGGACCAACAAGTGCAAACCCCGTCCCAAATGATTTGGGAAGAGTATCCATTTAGTCAGTCAGTCACTAAAGTGACTGTTGGTTAGGGGGGTGGGTGATGTAACGGGGTGAATCGTTACATAACAATTTATAAGAAATTGTTAATAGAATATAACTATAAGAGTTATATTCTCAGAATATTGTCATAAGGACAAATATTCTGTAGCACTTACGAGTAGTTCCTAATTGGTTGATATAGGCCATCATATCAACCAACGAAGACGCGCCATGACAGACGCACACAATGAGTGGTGAGCAGATAGTTGGTTTGCACATTTATATTCAGACATAGTTAGATGAGGATAAATAGTGATTTATTGCAGACATTAACTATTATAAATACAGTTCTACTTTTTACTTTAACCAAGTAATCGCTTCTCCTTACCGTCTTCCTCGGCACGTACCAGTGTACGTGAAGTTCCGAGGCACCGCCTTATTCTGTCGTCAGAATGAGTAGCTTGTACTGTCACCATTACGAGCTTCAGGGTGCCCCGTTAATGTGTGTTACGGCAACAAGTAATACCATTGGCAATCGTCTCGGATCGAACACCTTGCATGACGGGTAACTTTTGGAAGCGTACCTTGGAGGTGCTTGGCGCCAGACTCGATATATCTATCGCGGATTATCCGTAGACCGATGGTCAGACTGAGCGGGTTAAGCGCTGTGGCATTTTTACACAGCGTGTGAGCTAATACGCCTCAGCCTTAGAGACTAATGCTTTAAATTGTTATGTTTACCATAAACAATGCTTTCTATGCCTCACATGGCTACTTTCCACTCTACTTGAATGCACCCCCCCACCACGTTCCATTACCGCTTGCACTACGTGGTTTTAGGGCTTGGTGAAGGAGAGGTGGCCGATAGGCTTGCTGATGTCAGACTTGCTAATGTGCGGAGATCGACATCTACAATGCCGCCTCCAGATAGCTTGAATTGTGTAAATAATTCCCAGCTTTCAATGCTTATGAATTACTTGGTGATCCTGCCCCGTGATGGCATCCGGCATGCTGCGTGTGTAGGTGCGATAGAGTACATCCATTGTCTCCCATAATCTTTCAGGTACCGCCACCAGCTCCATGCCTGATAGTTTAAATACAGATAAGCGCGTTAAGAACAATGCGATTAGTTTCCTTGAGACTTGTGCATGACGCAACGGGTTACAGCCAAGTGGATGCTGAAGACGAAATATGTATTAAAAGTTGTAAGGTTGGTGAACAAGTCATACGAAACGCTGATAATTTGTCTACAAATGTAGTGTCTGCTCCGTAAAAGACGAAGCAATTTCCTCGATTCATAGGACCATTTACAGTCGTCTCAAAGAAAGTCATGTGTATACGATTAACTTCCTGCGCAAATTGCTTACACCCGTGTTTTAGGTTGGTCTCCTCAAGCCGGATCGGGGTTCCTTCGAAATTGATTAGGAGGCGCGTGCGCCGCAAAAGGTGATTTTGCCGCAGGCTGCTGCATCCAAATCAGGAGGTCAAGTTGCGCATCTGTCGGTTTCTGTTTCATTTTGAACGTCTGCAAGATGTCTTGCACCCCTCCAGCGTACTCTGGGTTTAAATCAAATTCTTACAAAGACCGTTCGTGTAACGGGGCACCCTGAAGCTTGTACTGGTGAAAGTACAAGCTACTTATTCTGATGACAGAATAAGGCGGTGCCTCGAAACTTCACGTACACTCGTACGTGCAGAGGAAGACGGTAAGAAGAAGCGAGTACTTGGTTAATGTAAAAAGTAGAACTGTATTTATCATAGTTAATGTCTGTAAAATAAACCACTGTTTATCCTCATCTAACTATGTCTGAATATAAATGTGCAAACCAACTATCTGCTCACCACTCATTGCGCGCGTCTGTCATGGCGCGTCTTCGTTGGTTGATGTGATGGCCTATATCAACCAATTAGGAACTACTCGTAAGTGCTACAGAATATTTGTCCTTATGACAATATTCTGAGAATATAACTCTTATAGTTATATTCTATTAACAATTTCTTATAAATTGTTATGTAACGATTCACCCCGTTACATCACCCACCCCCCTAACCAACAGTCACTTTAGTGACTGATGACTAAATGGATACTCTTCCCAAATCATTTGGGACGGGGTTTGCACTTGTTGGTCCGAGTCACTTTCCAACATTTCATGGCATGGTTAACACGCCCATGCGATCCGCGAGCAAGGCCGCCGAGAGCGCGTCCGCACGTCTCTGTTCGGACGCCGAAGCAGAAACCACAGCAACCGATGCCTCATCGGTTGCGGAAGCGACTCTGCCTGTGTCACTTGGTGATGCAGGCGCTGGTCATGAAGACACTCATGTCTTCACAGAGTATGAGCTCGGTGTCTCATACTCTCCTGATACGGAAGACGGATCCGTATCGACGGCGAGTGAAAGCAAGCCGCCTGCCAACCGTGGCATGGATGATGCTATGCGCCGCAGCATCTTTGGTTCATCTGATGAATCAGATGAACCATCGCCGAAGCGAAGGCGCTCGAGGTCGCGAGACTCGGGCGCTAACAGTGGTGTCGGTTCTCCTATGGACACCACTTCGCAACGAGGTGCCAGTCCTTCTGTCGGCACATCGCAGGAAGAGCGGGACCGCAATGTCTTGCGTCTCGCTCCCGAGAAGAAGGCATGGATGCCTCCTAAATCCGTCATGGATCACTTTTCGGCGACGACGAGTGATCGTTATCGAACACGATTGTTCGATTCGTCAAGGATCCATCACCTTGACCCCAGTGCGAAAAACTATCGCGCTGAGAATGATTTCTTCATCGATGCTTTCTTTAAACATCGATGGTACAGTGGGAATCACAAGCGTGATGGTCCCTCACTACTTCAAGCGTGGAACGCCTACATCCATAACCTTGAGGATGTAGGTCGTGACGTTTGGAACGACAAACTTATCAAAGCTCGTGATAAGTTTGAAAAGCGAACCCCGACAGGTGCACGCTACAAGCTGCATCGTCTGTCAAGGTAGAAATGGTTACCCTGCCTCTCTTGGGGAGACCCGTGCCCGTGTTGTGTGAACAACTCTGCACGAGCACCTAAGGAGGCTTACCTCCGTAATAGCCCGTGGTTGCGCGTACGTATCTCTAGTGAGATGTACGAAGGCATTGAGAACCTGAAATCCCTTTACGACCGTGCCGGGAAGACTTTCTCCGGCGGTCCTTCTGCGGCACAAGATGTGCCGCGTCGTACTGCTCAAACAGACCCAGTACGTCAACCATCAGTTGGGAGCGGGGCTCCCAAGTATCCCAGGACGAGGGAAAGCCGCGCCATCGGACGAGATAACTTGTTCGACGTCCGTTCACGTCGCGTTGGTTCAACAGCTGCTCAACCAGATAGCGCTGGTCACCGCGAGAGTCGTCTAATGGAGGTGGAGGAGGAGGGAAGACGCTCTCCACACAATCGTGGGGAAGCGTGTGTTCCCGAGAGCTTCTTTGATCGCGTAACGCAAGGGTTACGCGGCGATCTCGAACATGAGCGGGACAGGCGTCTCCAACTGGCGGACACTGTCTCGAAGCATCGAGCTGAGTTTGCCTTTGCTCAGCTTGAGAACGAGAGAGCTCTGACGTCTCCCACGAGCTAAGGGTAGCTCGTGGGGATGTTGAGCGGTCTCGGGCTGAGATAACTGCTCTTCAGACCCTTGTCGATGCCCACCATCGGGAGCACAAGGCCCTCTGTGAGATGCTTGAACGCAAGGGCGTGCTTCATCGGAAGAAACAGCGTACTGATGGTGCGGCTTAAGCCGACCAACGTAAAACGTGAGATGCGTTCGCATCTTACGTGGTAACTCGATCGTGTATGCATTGCCTAGGCGGTGCAATACACGAAATGGGCCAATGTACTTGGGTAGTAGTTTACTGCTACCCAAGTTAGTCACTACATGTTTTGGTAGATTAACCGTAGACAGTAGGACTAAGTCACCTTTATTAAATAAAAGAGTGTTTGCCCTTCCATTCTTGTCAGCGTTTTGCTTTTGCTTATCCACCGCTTCGGCGATGGAGTCTTGCACAAAACGGACTACCGTTTCACGAGCCAGTATGAATTCATTTGATGACTCGTTAGCTTCAGTACGATGTGAGTGCACTGCAGCAACATCAATCTTTTCTTCAGTGAGGGCTTCCACGCTCTCACTGGCATCATCTTCTTCGATATCGATGTTATCGATATCGGCATCAAACGCAATGACCTCTTCGTCAGAGCGTGATGAGCGTGAACCAAATCGGTTTTTGCTCGCGCGAGTCCCTCCCCCCCCTGAAACCAGAGTTGCACTCTTGTAAGGTGGGTACACGCGGATGGAGCAAGCCATTTACGTAAAACGGTGTATGTGTCGTGGACGCATGCACCGAGTTGCTAATGGAAAACTCTGCCATTGGCAAGAACTCACTCCGACTCTTAAAGTAGTGTACGTATCCTCGAAGTATCTCTTCGAGGACACGATTGGCTCGTTCCGTCTGACCATCTGACTCTGGATGATCAGATGTAGACATCTTCAAGCGCGTTCCGAGTGATTTGAACACGGAACGCCAGAAATCAGCAGTGAAGCGTGGATCTATGTCTGATACGAGTTCACGGGGCAACCCATGAGGTCGGAAGATGGTGTCAATAAAGACACAAGCACAGCCACTTGCCGTGATTGAATCTGGTACAGCCACTTGGTGTACCATTTTGCTGAATCTGTCAACAACTACGAGAATACCCGTATTCCCGCGTGCGTCTTTGGGTAACCCGAAGACGAAATCCATTGAGATGGATTCCCAGCACTCAGCCGGAACTGGTAGAGGCTGTAAAGGTGCACGCAGTGAAGGACTTGACTTCACTCGTTGACAGACTTCGCATGCGCGAACATACTTTCGCACAAACTGATACTGGCGGGGCCAGTAAAAGTCTCGACTCACCGTGAGATACGTTTTATCCCGGCCACGATGTTCTCCTATAGGAGCATTGTGATACTCGAACATGATTCACAAACGCAGATGAGTATCATCTGGAATGACAACACGTGGTGTGTCACCAGAAACGGCTGTACAATACAGTAACCCGTTGCGAGTAGTGTATCGATCTGATGCAGATCAATACGCAGACGATAATCGTTTCAACGATTCTCGAGATGGCTGTGAGAGATGTGTAAACAACTTCACAATCTCACCATCTTGGGCATACGCCCGCCTCACATCATCATGCAACGTTGAAGATGGTATTGAGGACGTCATAACCGCAACAGTGACTGTCTCACTGTTGGGTTTCGCGACTGGTTCAAAGTCGGGACGACGGGAGAGTGCATCAGCAACGACATTACGTCCTCCTGGTTTGTACTCTACCGTAAAGTTGTATTCTGCAAGGAATGGCAACCACCGCTCCATTCGTTGTGAAAGGTGCGGGCTGTTCACTGCCGTGCGTAATGACGCATGGTCAGTGTAAACAATGAAGGGTATATCTCCTAATAGATAGACTCTGAACTTCGCGAGTGCATACTTCATAGCAAGGAGTTCCTTGTCATGCTGGATAGTTCCGCTCAGCTGATTGCAGCTGACGCGACTGATAGCAGACGACGCGTTCAACGCCTTCAAGATCGTACTGCATTAATGCACAGCCGATTGCGAAATCGCTGGCATCACAGACCACATGAAATGGCCTGTCCTGATCGGCTATTGCTAGGACTGGGGATTGTATCAAGCTCTGCTTGATACCATCAAAGGAGCGCTGACATTCAGCGTTCCATAACCATCTCTCGTTCTTTTTCAACAAACGAGAGAGGTTCACAGTCATCTCGGCGTAATTGCGTGAATACTTGTGCAAATACGCCGCTAGCCCAAGGAATTTTCGAAGACCTTTGACATCAACCGGCACAGGCCAGTCGGTGATCGCCTTGATATTTTCGGGATCAGGACGTACACCGTTCTTACCAACGATGCACCCAAGAAGTGGTATTTCGCTTGCTGCAAATATACACTTCTTGAGGTTTGCATACAGTTGATGCTTTCGCATGATTGTAAGAACCTGCCGGACGTGGTACCTGTGAGCCTCCACGTCCGAATTCCCACCCATAGCTCGACTATGGATGAATACGTCATCGAAATAACTCGGCGCGAATTCTCGTACTGGTCTCAACAGATGTGATACACATCTGTTGAACGTGGCAGGGGCATTACTAAGCCCTTATGGCATTACTAGCCATTCCCAGAGCATGCCGCTAGACGTGCTAACTGCGGTATAGGGTATGTCCCGTTCTCGCATAAGGATTTGATAGAAGCCATCCATCAAATTCATGGACGAAAAGATGGTACTCTTTGACATACCATCAATGATTACGTCCTTCCTCGGTATCGGCGTCTGAGCCGGTACCGCTGCAGCATTCAATTTGTTAAATGCATGCACTATCCGCCACCCTCCTGTTGCTTTTCGCACACAGAAGGTCGGAGAGCTATGTGGGGAAGTTGATTCCCTCACATGGCCCGCAGCTAAACGATCGGCAAAGAACTTGTCGATCGCAAGTACTTGTTCACGAGGCAGTGGCCACTGCTTAATGATACAGTACTTCGAGCCTGGTTTAAGCTCGACCTCGTGTCGAATACCTTTATCCTTCGGTAATTCGCACGGAACAGTTTCAGGGAATACATCCTTGAATTCAACCAAATCTTCATAGAGAGGATTTTCCTTGAGCGATTCCCATGATTGGGACTCATATCGCTCAATTCGTGTCTTTTCATCTAGGACACTCTCGTCCATAGATGAACTACTGAGAACTCTCTCGTTTCCAGTGAACACTGTTGCTGACCTTATGTCGGCTACACACTCGTCGTCAGCGACGAGTACGCAGATCTGCTTGACTTTGCCACTACGCAGATCACGCAAGAACCTTTTATGTTCGAGCGTTGGCAACTGAGTGCTCTCCGAAGTCAACTTCGGAGGCGCAATCAGATCAAGTGTATAAGCGCCTACACTTGATCCGTTATTGACTATGACATTCAATGTCTCTGTCATTTCCTGGGGACTTGTTCCCTCAGGCCTCGAAGGACTTATTCTTCGACTTCCCGGGGACTTATTCCCGCGGGTTTCGGGGAACTTATTTCCGCCGTATTTGTAATATCGGGACTTATTCCCTTAACTTCCTCTAGCTGGGGTTGCGCAACCACGGCGAGATCCTCTACGAAAGACTCTCCAGTCGATCTAGGATTATCGTTTCGCTTAACCTGAGCGATCGACTGTTTCTCTTCTAGATGTTCCCCGCTAGGGATATATCTTTGTCCCGGTCCACTCGAATTATTCGAGTGGTGGACCTTCGGCACAGCCTGTGTTTCCTCACAGCCACCGGAACTTTGCTCCGTAGTGTAACCGTTTGGTACACTAAGGTTTTGTGCAGTCGTACTAACGACCGTACCACAAGTGAGGCCATCGCACTCACTCGTAGTACATCAACACGCTTGTGGACGCTCCAAAACGTTGATCAGATGGCCATCTGATGAACAAGCGGCAGGCATCGTTACTGTTCGATGTTGCCAGTTTACCCGTGGTTCGTACCTTCTGAGCCACGGTATTCCAAGGATGACGTCAAATTTGTCATCCAATTCCAATACGATAAAGTCATCGTCATATTGGGTATCTACTAGCGTATAGTGGATCTTCACTATACGCTTCATGACGGTTACGGATGCGCCTGTCGCAAGACGTACCGTCATCCTCGTAGGAGGTGTGTCACATTCACTGAACTTAAAGTGACCATCTTCTAGCGAGGGGCGTCGCACAAAATTGTTGGACGCCCCACAAACGACTAGAGCTCGAAGGAACAACTTATTTTCGTCACTTCGAGTTTCCAGGTAATGAGTGAGATCTCATTACCTAGAGCATCAACGCACAACGTTTGTGTGTTGGGAGCAACCTTCATCAAGAGGCCCACAAATTCTCATGACGTTGCTGGACCAGTAGGGTGCTCCGCACCTACTGATCCTGTCCGTTTTTTGACGTTCCATCCCGTTGTTGCGTCTTTGCACCAACAGCGGACACGCGTCCCTGCCCCTTTCTCATGGGTGGACGGTCACTACGCCCAGTGTTGCGAGATACTGGACGAGGGGCACTACACTCGTAAGCGTAGTGTCCTGTCTTTTGACATCTGTTGCATTTCTGCAACTTCTTGTAGTCTGTAGAGCGAGCCTTCTCGCTCTCTACATAACAGAGTTCCATCGGCTCTGGACCTCCGTTGTCATATCGTCTCGGTTGACGATACGATGTCGAGCTGGCGCGAGCCTGTCTCAGACTGAAGTCTTCCTGTTCCGCAATGGAAATAGCTTGTTCCAGTGAATCTAGTTCAAGCCGGAACAGGTGAGTCTTGACGGGACCATCCACAAGACCCTGCATGAACACCGAAATCAACGTGTGTTCATCAACCGGGTTGGAACTTATACAACTCGTGAGATGTCGTACATGTTGCGCGTAAGCGTGCACTTCACGCTTACCCTGTTTGAGCTTCAAGAGTTCGGTTCGAGCTCTGAACTCAGCTCTAGGCGGTTCAAACGTTTGTCTGAGCCGCGACTTGAAGACTTCTAACGACCCTAACGCATATGGGTCGTGCAACTTGAGCCCCAGTGC